TGCACTCAGTGATCCCCAAGTGATATTAAATCACTTGTCATTTAAATTCTTCTCTCTGAATGTTATTTGCTTGGCTTTAGCATCAACGATTACTCTAGGAAATTTTCTCTGCTTTGCAGGGTGAATGGCCCAAAACAAACAAACAAAACAAATAAACAAACAAGAGAACACATCAAAACTAACCAAAGACACACACACAAAAAAAAAAAAAAAAAAAAAACAGGAGCAATTCAAGCTTTAACTCTGTTTCTTCCAGCTTAGCAAAACAAATTAAGAATAATAGCAACAGGACAGGGATACAAAATCCAGAGGCTCTGGTGCTTCTGAGCTATGCAACTGAGGCAGCCATATGCCTCTCATCACCATCTGCCCCACAGAATTGGAAATTCTCAAATTCTGTTATGCTAAGATGAGAATACTAATATTCACAAACACCTAGTGCATGTACTTTACATTTTTTTATTTGATTAGATCTTACTAGCAACCCTTTAGGCACATTATTATACCCACTGCACAGATGAGAAAACTGAGACCCATGGATCCTGACAACCTTGCTGAAGATAGTAGCAGAGCCACCAACAGAACCCAAGCCTCAAAAACCACTATCTGTGTTGTTAATAACTTTTTCCCATCATATTCTAAACTTACATTAGTAAAAAGTTTTTTGGAAAAACATAAAGAATCTTATATCTGCACCAAGAATTGTGATATTATGCTTTTTTTCATTTTCTTTTTATGTTTAGACATAAAACCATTGTATATATTTTATTACAGGAAAAGATTTTTTTCATAGTTGACATCGAATGCTTCATACAACTTTGTGTCGTGCTCTATTAAGTATCCTACTGAGCATTAAAATGCTTCATAAGTATTCTGTGGCCACATCACATTTTTTAAACTACTCCCCTATTATTAGGCATTTAGAGTGAATTTTTAAATTCACTGATGACACTGGTTAACAAAATTATACAGGTTTCAGATACGCAATTCCACAACACATCATCTGTACACTGTGTGTGTTCACCACTCCATGTCAAGTCTCCATCCATCATTTATCGCCCCCATACCCTCCTCCACTTCCCCCACTGCCCCTACCCCTAGCAGTCACCACACTGTTGTCCTTGTCCATGTGTTTGGTTTTTTTTCTCAATTCCTTCACCCCCACCCCCAACTCCCTAAACAACCCCCCAACAGCTGTCAGCCTGCTCTCTATCTATGGGTCTGTCTCTATTTTACTTGTTAGTTCATTTTGCTCATTAGCTTCCACATAGGAGTAAAATCATACTTGTCTTTCTCCAACTGGCTGATTTCACAGCATAATGCTCTCCAGGTCCATCCATGCTGCCCCAAAAGGTAAGATTTCCTTTTCTTTTTACTGCCAAAGGAAGTATTCCATTGTGTAAACAGCTTTTTTTTTTTATCTACTCATCTATTGATGGACACTTGGGCTGCTTCCAAATCTTGGCTATAAAGTGGACTTTTATGAAGTTTTAGTTTTTTAATATGAATGACATTGTGTTACACATTTTTTATTAATTTTGGGAAGATTTGAAAAGGGTATGAAATATGTTCTGTGGTCCTGTTATAAATTCCAAATATAATTTTGTATAAAAAAATTTAAAATGACTATGGTTGTGGTGCCTGAGGCAGGCAGTGACGGGCAGCAGCCTCAGCAGCCCACCCAGCTGGGGGTGTAGAGTGTGGCGCGTGCAGGGAGCTCAGTGTCGGTAGCCCCCAGGAGTCCCAACAAGTGTGAGTTTCCCTGCAGCCTGGAACCCTGCACAGAGGGACATGCAGTGTGGAGAATGGGAAGAAATTTTTATATTGTGAACCACATAAGACAATTAAGAAATACTGGAAGAACTTTATATTAAGAGAGATGAATTCTACATTAAAAATCCACCTGCAGGGTGGATCCCAAATGGTGGTGGATTAGGTGGAAGCTACACTCACCTCCTCTCAGGACCAAACTGGAATTACAACTGAAGTAAAGAAAAAGCATCCTGAATAACCAACTGAAGACTAGCTGGAGACAAGCCTTATGATTAGAACTTCCAGAGAGGCCACACTGAGACTGGGGGTGTGGGGAGGGGGGAGGTACAGAGGCACGCGAGAGCTGGCTGGGCATTCATGGGCAGCAGCTGAAGTTGTGGAGGAATACGGGGCCCCCTGAGAAGTACAGAGTCTAAAACCCAAGCCAGGCTCCCCAACTCAGAACACCAGAACTGGGAAAAGGTGCCCACATCTGGCTGTGAAAAGCAGCAGGGTTTCTATCCACCAGGGAGAGATGGCTAGAAATGTAGGTACCCTCTTAAAGAGCCAATGCACAAAATTTTGTTCACAGCCACTCGCCCTGGGGTCTGGTGGAAGGAAGCAGAGCAGACTAGAGCTGCATGAGGAGAGTTTGGGGCTGGTGGCTCTGGGGAGTGAGCTGAGAGAACAGCTGCCAGGATCCCTCTGCTGAGTCATTCCCCCAGACTGCCAAGGCCCTCATTCTCAGGCAGAGCATTCCCCTTCAGCAGCATCAGCCCGCAGGGAAGCAATTACAATTATCCATTGTAATTCCTCTTGCCCCACCCTGTGGAGCTTACTCCCAGCTGAGGAGTACAGACCAAAGCTCTTTAAGTGACTGAGCCTAACAGACAGCCTGTGGGCAGAGGTGGATCTCTAGGTGGTTTGAGACTTTTGCTGACCTGCCCCTGGGCCTGGAGCTAGTAAAAGCAGACGTTGTTATGTAGCTTGGTTCTTTCCACAAGCATCCTGGCCCAACAGAGGGAGCCACAAGCTGTGGATCACTGATAGCCCCAAATAGGTTGCTCAGGGCCAGTGACAGACAGGGTCTGACATTGGCCTGCACCAGAGTCCTGCCCAGGAGGCCCAGACCCAACCCACCCAGTGGCAGGCTTCAGACAACAACAGAGCAGGATCCAATATGCTTCACAAGCAGCACAGCCACAGGGAAATAATCAGCAGGCACCAAACCCTATGAGGCGAATTCCCCTTCGTGTGATCAGCACCTGCACAGCAGCTTGCACACTGTGTTGGGGGTTGATTCTACACACAAATGAGCCAATAGCAGTCAAGACTCAATTACAATAGGAAGACCCACATAATCTGCAGAAGGGACATTCTTAGAGCACCCAGGTCAGGTTATCAGGGAATCTGCGCCACTGGGTGCCCCAGGTCACCTACTACATAAGGCTACCTTATCAAGGTGGGGAGTCATAGCGAATCTACCTAGTAGGTGGGGTGGGGGGAGGTGGGTGGAAGTGGAAGAGGGAATAGGGGGATAAATGGTGGTGGAAAAAAAGAAAAGAAAGAAAAGTAAAGCAACTCAGCCTCACAAGTACTCTATCACACATGTCTACTGCATGTAATCCTGCTGATATCATTTTTAAGATCTGTAAATATTATAGTAAAAAATATCTTTTATTTTTTATCTTTGATTCTTAAAGAGATCAAACATGTTTTCTATGTTTATTACTTATTTTGATTTCTTCTTTGATGAACAGGCTGTCTACTTTTCTACTGTGATCTCAGTGCTTTACTTTTTGGTGGGTGTCATCTCCTTATATAGTAGTCCCCTTTATCCACAATTTCACTTTCCATGGTTTCAGTTACCACGGTCAGCTGTATTCTGAAAAGATTAAATGGAAAATTCCAGAAGTAAACAATTCATATATTTTAAGCTGCATGCCATTCTGAGTAATGAAACCTCACGCTGCCCCGCTCCGTCCTGTCCAGGATGAGGATCATCCATTCCTCCACTGTCTCCACTCTGTACAGGTTCCCCTCCCACTAGTCAGTCACTTAGCCGTCTTGGTTATCAGAGCAACAGTTGCCATATTGCAGCGCATGTGTTCAAGTCACCTTTATTTCACCTAATAATGGCCGCAAAGCAATGCTAGTGAGGCTAGCAATTTGAATATGCCAAGGAGAAGCTATGTAAAGGGATGTCTTTAAGTAAAAATATGAAAGATCTTGACATAATAAAAAAAAGAAAAAAATCATATGCCGAGGTTGGTAAGATCTATGGTAAACATAAATCTTCTATTCAAGAAACTGTGAAGAAAGAAAAAAATTTGTGCTAGTGTTGTTGCCACACCTCAAACTGCAAGTCATGGCCACAGTGTATGGGGAGTGCTTAGTTAAGATGGAAAGGCATTAGTGAACACAAGGCATATATATATGGTTCAGAACTATCCGAGGTTTTAGGCGTCCACTGAGGGTCTTGGAATGCATGTCCCATGGATAAGGGGGACTACTGTTTATCAATATCTTCAAACTATTATTTGTTATGTTTGTCAACTGAAGTCTCTTGCAAGGTGCCTGAGACAAGAATTTCTTGTATGTTTCCCTCTAGTTCTAAAGAGTATAAACGTAATGTTGTGAACCTGACAAACAGGAGACTGTAGCCTATAAACTGACAAAATGGTTTTAAAAAATCAGTCAATCTGTCAAGGTTGCTCGATTGGCCTGCACCATAGTGACCAGAGGCTGTGATGCAGGTGATTAAGTTTGATCACTGAGGATTCCAGGAATCTCCTGTGAGCCCTCAGGTGATCACAATGCCTATGGACTTTAATGACCCCAAGGAGTTTGGAGTCCACCTTCATGGCAGGCACCTGAACAGCGAGGTTACTGTCCCCTCACACTCCCGCCAAACTGGCCACAAATGATGTGATGACAATTTCTTTCCTTCTATCTGTAATAGAGTTCACTGACTTGCACTAACTTGTGTGTTTCTGGGAGCCTTAACCTTAGTATCAGCAAGATGTGACCTGAATGCCATTCATTCTGTTATTTCTTTTTTTTGCTTTTTATACTAAGTATTTTATTTGTATGCTGCTGCCAGTGTATATGAAATACTCTTTCTTATGAAATAGAAATTCATGAAAATTCAGGGAGGTAGATGTTAAGGACAAAAGCAGAAGTTTGTATAGTATGGCACATGTCATAGGATAAGCTTTTCATACAGGCTTCAGATTTAGCTCTCTTTGAATATTCACTGCTTCAAGAAAAGTGGTTTAGAACACCTTCAAAATTCCTTTTACTACAAAAAGGAACAAACTTTCTGGGGTCTGAAGGGATTGGTACTTGAAGATACTCCAGTCAGCAGGGGGTCATGTTGAGAATTCTGCAGACAGAATTGTTTCAGATCTGCAACTGCCTGGGAAACTGGGTTGGGCCCAGCCTCCAACCGGAGCTGTTGAACCACTTTCTTCATAGCGGTGATGCTGGAGGAACCAGACATGGTGCACTCGAGGGCCGGGCAGATTGGTCAGTAGCGGATCGCAAGGTGTGGGTCCATGGGGCCAGAAGGTGGGGCAGCGACGCGAGGTCATTCTGTTCTTATTTATTCATTCAAACAAACATTTATTAAACATATGTTATTTGCCAGGCACTGTGGTGGGCATTGAAAGTAAAATAGTAATAAAAAAGGAACAAAACCCCAACCTCATGGATTCCGATGAGAAGAAAAGACATTATCCACATAAACACAATAATAAAGGTGTTTGGAGCACAGGGTCCTGGTGAAGCCTAGATGGCAAAGTCAGAGAGTGGACTTATTGGACCATAGAGACCATGGACAACAGGAAGCCACTGGCTGTCCTAACCATATCTTTGGAAAGGTCATTCTGTCTGTTGGATGGAGAAAGGTATGGGGGTGGCAGAAAACATAACACTTAGAGACAGAGTAGCATTCGGAGCTATTGCTGTGGCCTGGGAGAAGCAAAGACAATAGTTTGTACTGGGGTAGATATAAAGATGGAGTTCTTCATTTTCTCTTTGCTTCCTTCTACTCATCTGCATTGTTGAACCAGGTCCTTAACACCATAACAATAGCACTGAGTGGGGAAAAGGAACTCAAGAGGAGGATAGAGTCCTCCATTTTGTCTGTCACCTGAAGGACAAAACCAAGATAAGTGTCCTTTTCCCAGAACAAGTTCGGTGGTAAGAAGCCAGCTATCTACTACATTAAACCAATGAATTCCCACTTTGTATGGTATTTTCTGACACCACATACATCATTCCCATACCAACCAATTCTCTAATTCTCTGATTCCAAATGGGTAGCCTACAATTCAATTCAATATTGACACTAACTACCTAGATTTAGCACAGAACCACAGGTTAAGAATAAAGTCCTTCAATTCTGACACTAACTCCTCAGAGGTAACACAGACCCCTGAAGTTAAGGGCTCGGTCCTATAAGACTTATCTCACTTCAGACGCCAGTCACAAGTCTTAGGTTCCTAGGTTACTTGCACTTCTGTCCAACTTGGCTACAAATTTGGGGGTTCTCACAACCCCTCCTTCAGGTTTGGTAATTAGCTAAAACTGCATATATGCGGATCCATGCAGTTCAAACTCATGTTGTTCAACCGTCAACTGTATTTTCTACCTAAGGTTGGGAATCTGCCTAGGTGGAGGGCCAACTTAAGTTACGCATGGATTTTTGACTGCGAGGGTGGTCGGCACCACCTAACCCTACATGTTCAATGGTCAACTATACTATGTTTTTTCCTGTAACATATATACCTATGATGAAGTTTAATTTACAAATTAGGCCAATAAGAGATTAACAATAATAACTAATAATAAAATAGGACAATTAAAACAATATACTTAAAGTTATGTGAATGTGGTCTCTCTTAAAATACCTCACAGCACTGTATTCACTTTCCCATTTAAAAGAGCACTTTACCAAGGCTTGTCTTTGGCAAACCTGAATTGCCAGCATCACGACTCTTTGTGTTTTGGGTCCACTATTAAGTAAAATAAGGGTTACCTGACCACAACCACTGCGATGCCTTGATGGTCGATCTGATAACTGAGATGATTGGAGACAATGGACAAAGGGATGGTAAACATCCCGGGTGGAATGGTCTGGATTTCATCATGCTTCTCAGAATAGCATACAATTTAAAACTATGAAATATTTGTTTTGAGAATTTTCCATTTTCCATTTCCTCACCAAGGTTGACCATGGGTAACTGAAAGCTCAAAGCAAAACTGAAAATCATAGGGGGAGGCTACTGTACATGAATTGGGCATTTAGGAGGCATTTGGGAGTCATTGAGGTGAAGATATTTAAAGCCATGGAACTAGATGGGTATATTGTGTCATGAGGGGTATGTGGGGTAAAGAAGCTCAAAGGCTAATGGATTTGGTGAAGAAAATATGAGGTCACTCTTACTGCAACTGCTATTTCAAATGAAGAATAAAATATTTATCATCTGAGAGAGGCTTGAAGAAACAGGGCATGTGGAGAAAGGTATAGTCATAAACTCAGGAAGAGGCAGGGGCTATAACAGGAAGAACAGTGTTGGGCAGAGCTGAGTGCCCACTGAGATGTGTGGCCGGTCTGCCCATTGGGAGATTTTCTCCAGCCGTGCTCAGCTGTTTGGGTGCAGGCACAGAGCAGGAGGACTTGGATTTCACTAGGCCAGTGTTAATCCAATGAGTTCATGGGGGCAGCAGGCAAAGAAGGATGGGTGTTGTGTAATAAGGATTTGGCTTTACCATAAGAGAGGTCAGGCCTTTGTTCAGGCAACTGTGAAGTAACCTCCAAGCCCTTGGAATCTCCTCAGGGATAAGTGTTTTTTGTTATTCATAGTGGAACCTCAGATCACACCTAATAGTTTATGGAAGCAAGATGGCTGAGGGTGGGAATGACCACATCTATAGCAGTGAGAGCTGGCCATTGCATAAAAACCAACTAGTTTAGAGAGCAGGTTACTTGAGTCACATGGTTCCAGCTGATGTTCAGGCAGAGTTTAACCACAAGGGCAATCAATCAATATTTCCTACGGAATGAAGCTCCAATAAAAACTCTCAACACCAACACTTGGATGAACTTCTTGCATTGGCAATACTTAGTGAGCATTGTCACGCATCAATGTTCGGAGGAGAACAAAGGAAGCTCTGTGTTTGGAACCCTTTCAGACTGGGACATGTAAGTCTCTTCCCCTAGCCAATTTTAACATATACTTGCCTCATACTAAATACAACGGTGTGCATAACAGCCTTTCAGTGAGTTTTGTGTCTTACTAGCAAATTATCAAACCTGATGGTTTTGAAAACCCCTCTGTTATGGTTTAAATTATATCCCCCCAAATTAACCCTCAGAACCCTTTATTTGGGAATCAGGTCATTGAAGATATAATTAGTTAAGGTAAGGACATACTGGAGTAGGTTTTGGCCCTCATACAACATGACTGATGTCCTTATCAAAAGGGGAAATTTTGGACACAGACACAGACAGAGAATGTCAGTGGATGAAGGCAGAGATTTGGGTGATGCAAGCCAAGGAATGTCAAAAATTGCCAGCGAAACACTAGAAGCTGGGTAAAGGCCTGGAACACATTCTCCTGCATAGCCCTCAGAATGGCCCAACCCTCCCAGCACCTTGATCTTGACTTCTGGCCTCCACAGTGGTAAGGCAATAAATTTATATTGTTTAAGCCACCCAGTCTGTGGCACTTTGCAACATGCCCAAACCTGTGGTTGGCGTTAGAAGTGTTGGGCAGTCTGAAGGACTATGCCCTTAACATCACAATTTACCCAATTGCAGGGAAGTGTCTAGGCTGGTTACAGAAGAATATGATGACATGTGGGGACATGGATAGTGAGAAAATAGTAGGGACAAGGAACTGAAGGGCCCAGTGTAGTTAAAGAATTATTGTACTTGAAATAAAAAACAGTGAGATGAAAAGGCGGAACTAGTAATCAGAGTGATCCCAGACTAATGGATCCATTTGCCTGCGTGCATCAGAGAAAGGAGTTTGCAGGGGAAATAAAAGTAAGGGTTTATCTTTAGGAAGTGGCCCACACCTGGAAACAAGTGAGCGAATGTGCAAAGGCCTAGCTCCCTGATGGCTTCTAGGGGATGGTTATACAGGGCAAAAATCATTAATCATGGTGACTAAGGGAGTTAGGGTCATGGTCTCTACTGATTGGTCGGTACTAGGACAAGGGGTAGTTGATCAGTGCATCCGGTCCTGCTGTCAGCCATGGTGTCACTTCATCTTGTTTTGCTGCATTTCTGAACCTGGAGCTGAAACAACTGAGGCCTAGATGTTATCTTTAGTTTGATTGAAACTCTGTCTTTGTGGTCAATAGATCTGAGGCTTTGTTCCTCAGATTGTTCAGAATCTCACTGTCCTGAGGGCTTAATGACTAAGGAAACGACATGTAAGGGAGAAGGAGGCAGATGAGTCAGGGTGCTAGATGAGGCCAGTTTTAATCAAAGAAAAAGAAAGGAGAAAAGATTATATAAAGAAATGAAATTTCTACACCATTATAATCCCCCTCTTTCTTTTGATCATTCCTCAACCTTGAGGAACACAGGGCAACTGGGTCCAGGTTCAATCTCAAGGGAGGATTAGCTCATAAGATGGAGTCAGATTTGTCTACCTACTGTGCCCCCATTATCTTGCTCTTATAATCTCACACACCCATCGCTTCCTCGATGGTCCCTGAGCCTTAAAGGGGGCATTATAGGGGTTTGACTTACAAGCAGGGACCATAGCAATAACAGAAGCAGCAATAGGCCAGATACCTATACTGTAATTAATAATCAGAGCAAACCAAAGTTAATCTCTGAGTCTTTAAGACTACCATTTGAGAAGACCTCTAGATGAAAGGCTCAGAGCTTCATTTTTCTGGAAGGAAGGCAAGAGGTGACAAATCCAACAAATTCCCCTGAACCACAGTCCAAACATCCCTGATGAGTGTCCCGACACCAATTCAAGTCAGCTGTGTGGCTTCCACTGCATCAGTCATTGAAACCGTTCAAGCAAGAGCTGTCATGATGATTTCTCTAAAGTTTACATCATCTAGCTGGGGTCTGCAATTGTAAGGCTTAGAGAAAAAAAGTTTCAGTTCTCAAGAATTCCAAGGCAAAGGATGGGAGAGAAATAAAATACTAGTTCAGAGAGCTGCAGCCAAACACTTTCATTAGAAAAAGTCAGGATCCAATCCAGTCCACAGGTGGAAAATAAGATTCTAAAGACTATTAATCAAAAGCATCTAATATCCAAAATTGAAACAATTTTTCTCTAAAATTACTAGTATCCTCATTTTATCCAAGGTAGCCAAGTTAAGACTAACCTATTGTATAAGTCTAGTTTCAATATATTTGGCCTGTTATTTGCATAAGTATGATAAGAATAGTAATAGATCATATAGGCTCTTTGAAATCTGCTTTGCTGGAATTTCATAAGGAATATAACTCCAGATTGGACTTTAATTAGCCTCTCAGGGCTAAGAAGCCAAGCCACATAG